CTCCCCGCGTGACTGCTTCCCACGTTTCCTCTGGCTCCTGCCCGCGTGACTGCTTCTCACGTTTCCACCGGCTCCTGCCCGCGTGACTGCTTCTCACGTTTCCACCGGCTCCTGCCCGCGTGACTGCTTCTCACGTTTCCACTGGCTCCTACCCACGTGACTACTTCTCACGTTTCCATTGGCTCTGAGATTTCTTCAGTGCCCTGGGGTGGGCGTACCAGTCCTGCTGACTCTGACGTGTTCTTTTCTTGCCCCGGTCATTTCTTTGAGTGCTTTGTCCTTTATTGGCTTTCACCCTGTTGCTCCCAGACGAGGTCCAGTTTGTCAAGGGTGTTTTGAATTCTAATCCTGCCCTCCAAAGTGCTTGCAACCCCTCTCAGCGTGGCATCCACAGGTTTTGTAAGTGTGCTCTGCACTCCATGAATGACTATTGAACAGTCTGGACCCTGGACTGACCCAGGCCAGACCTCACAGTGGCCCTTTGGTAACTGCTGTGTGAGTGTGGCCTTTGAAGCAGCTGTGTGCTCCCTTATCGTAACAGTCTAGAGCGCGTTTCCACTTTGCCAAAGCCTTCCTAAAATCCAGCTCTGTCGAGAGCATTCCACACCCACTAAGCCCGCGACTCTGGAAGAAGCAGATTGGGGTGGAATGGCAGGGTTTGTTCCTGACGAGTCCATGTTCACCAGTCCTTATGCCCGTTTTGTCCTCCAAATGCTAAGAGGGTTGATTGCGGAACAGTTTTTTCCACTGTCTTTCTGGCTGACTGATCGAGGGGTAATTCTTCAGGTCCCCTTCATTCCCTCTTTGCCTTTCTCTAGTCCTGTGGGTGGTCCCTTGTCCTCCTGGAGTTGGCAAAGATTGTCGCTGACATTCCAAGATGGCTTCAGCGGCTGCCTCAAGCGCACTAGTCTGAATTTCATCAGCCCCCGCCCAGCTGAATACATGTCACTTATCTAAACAGTCTTGAACCCGTTCCCTTGTTATCCTGGCTTGTCCCCCACCATTCCTTTGCTGCTGCTGCTGCTGCTGCTGCTCCTTCTGTTGAAAATGTGGCCATCAGTCCCCTTTTACTGAGGTAGGTATTACATGTGTTCGCTTGGCTCTTGTGTAGAGAACCTTGTCTCACGGCCTGTTTTATCCCTTTGGGGTGGAGCCCTTCTCAGACTCTGTTCCTGCCTGCCTGTTGTCCAGGCTTCCTCCTTTGCTGGGATTCCCTTGTATTCCCGAGGGAGCCAAACTGGCACCTGACTGTTTTGTCTCGCTCAGAAACTGTCAGGTCTCCTGAACCCCTTGAGCCCTTAGATTTTCCTGCTACAGGCCCTCACCTGCCAGGTTCCTGAGGGAGTTCACGGCTGAGGTTGGAAGGCCATTGTCTTTATGCTGCTGCTCTCCTGCCTGCCTTCCCTTACCCCACTGAAACCAGCAAAGGGGGCTGGCGGCACTCTATGGACGACCAGATCCCACAGGGCTTGCGCTTTCATGAGCTGCCTCAGTGGCTGCCTCCCTGTGCTCTGTTGTGCAGCCCTGC